GACCAGGGCCCAGATGTTCAGGCACTTGGCGGTGGAGGCATAGGTCTGGGCCCCAATCAGGTCACCCACCATCTTCCGGTCCCTAGACTGGGGAGAGGAGATGGAGAGGGGGATCAGGAGCGGGTCCTGGCGAGAGCCAGGCTGGTCCCCGTCCACAGCAGCCTCCACATGCCCTTCGCCCCGGTCGGGGACCCACCCCCCTTTCCCAGAGCCTGAGCAGGACAGTGGCCCTTGGGTCCCGTCCCTCCTGGGGCCTCTAGCTCCTTCTTCAGACTCTCAGCCTCTCCTGGAGACCCCAGGGCGCCCCCTCCCTCTGCGTAGGTCCAGTCACTGGCCTCTCCCACTGAGAGGCGGCTTCTGGTGAGTTCCTTTGTTCTTTCTGGGAGAGCCCTGGAGCCACATCTCAGTCTGAGGGATGTCCTTGGGAACTGGGGACAAAGGCCACTCCTGGCCATCCCCGGGCCCCTCCTGCAGCCTCACTGCTACCACGCATGGACTCCCCATCCCCCCCCACCACATGCCCTCGGGGCAGGCGGACCTCCCCAGGCTCACCTGTACTTTCTGGGAGAACCCCCCCCCAACCCACACACCCACCTTCACGGAGTAGGCAAAGGCCACGAAGCCCAGGCAGCACCAGTTCATGAAGATTGTGTTGAACAGGGACCAGACGATGTGGTCGGGCACGGACGTCTCAGTCTGGATGTTGATCACGGTGGTGGCCATGGGAGCTGGACTCTGGGGCCCCCCGAGTACCGCCACCTCATGCTCCTCCTTGAGCATCTCATAAGTTGGGGGGACACCAGTGTGGGTGCCAGGAAGGAAGGGCTGGGCATTGCGGTTCATGGTGCGAGACGGAGACGCTGCGGTCCGGATGCTGGGGCTGCTCAGGGCTCTCCCCTCCCGGGTAGTTTCGATTTCTTCAAAGATTTCTTTTTCATGGTGTTTGGGGAATTGGGAATTGGTTGGGCACTAGGAGGGCGTGACCAAGCACTGGGTGTCAGGTTACACCAGGGCGGGGCGGGAGGAAGGGCTGTGGTCTCAGGGGGGCTTCCTGTCCCCGGCTCTCACGTCGGGTCCTGGGTCCTGTCTCCGCTCCTCTACCACAGCCTTTGTCAGGGGTGTGTGTGGGCCCTGGGGACTTTTCCTCAGATGTGAGTCTCCCCACCCTGCCTCCACCCCAGCCCCAAGCCTGCTGCAGGCTCCCATACGGACTCCACACTGCAGCCCCCAGAGAGAGTCCCCGAAGCCCCAAAGCCCACACCTCAGCAGTCACAGGCGTCCTCTCTGTCTGGACTCTGTTGACTTTTCCTGGCTCTGAAGTCCATGTTCCAGCGGTGGGGCGGCAGGGCGGGGGTTGGGGGGGGGGGGCGCTGGCAGGTCAGGACCCAGCAGCCTGTGCCGCCTGCCCTGGAGGGAGCCTCTAGCATCTCCCAAGGGTGCCGGAAACCGGGAGCCGGCTGTGGTGGGAGAAAGGAGGATCCGGGCCATTTGGCAGCTGCTGGGAGCACAGGGCCAGCTTTCCTGAACGCCCTATCCTTCCTCCCTCCCTCCTGCCCCATCATGTCACATAGGTGTTGTCTGGGGGGTCATGGTAGGAAGTCCCGGTCATCTTCTTCCACTGTCAGGCCCATGCCCCCCTTCTCAGGACAGACTCAGGTCAGCTTTGTCGCCGGGACACGGCTCTTTCTAAGAGTAAAGGGTCAAGTTGCTCTCTCACTGCCTGTGGTCCTGGCCCGCTCTGTGGGTGCCAATGGCCGGGCCCTGGCCTCCCAGGAGCTCTTGCCTTCACCCTGGAGG